GCCTGAGTTCAATTCCCATTTCTGGAAGAAAAAAAAAAACATGTGAATATATCTTTTAGCTCAAGAAAAAATCTTTTCTGAAAACATCCATCCTTGAATAAAAAATACATATATTAGTCGTATCACTACATATCTTACAGTATACAACTTTATTTCTTTCTGTTTCTTTTTTTCTTCTGTTTTTGTCTTCTTAGTCACATATATCAACTAATCAGTATTAGCATCTATAACATTTAAGACAGTTTCTAAGTCCATACGAAACAAATCAATAGGGATTTTTGTACTTTTTTCAATTTTTCTGTACATCTGAAATAATCACAAAATTTAAAGCTTTTTAAAATTTTCTAAATTTAAAAATGTTTAAATGTCTTTTATTTAGAAGAGTCTTCTGGCTGTGTGTGGTGGTGTATACCTGTAATTCCAGTACTCAGAAAGCTGAGGCAAGAGGATCTCTGGGAGCTTGAGGCCAGCCTCAATAATAAAGTGAGTTCAAGATCAGCTGAACTTCATAGTGTATGTGTCTCAAAAAGACCAAAAAAAGTCTCCTAGGAGGGGAGGATATAGTTTAGTGTTCAAGTACTTGCCTAGCACAGGGTTCAACCGGGTTCAATCCCTAGCACTAGGGGGAGAAAAAAGATTCTCCTAATTTTTGAATATTTTTGAAAGATTATAATGACTAAAGAAGTCTGAACAGAGACCACTTCAAGCCTCTTCCATCCCTCTATGCTTTTACCCCTGCTAAAGATGTATAATCATTGGGTTAATAAAGCCTGGTAAGCACAGCTACACCTCCTAACTCTCATCATTCCTGAGCCTTGCTCTTGACAGGCAACCACCACGTTTCCTGTCCTTTCTCAAGCTTTGTCCCTGGCAGGTAGTCACAACGCCTTTCCACTGAACTCTCCTCAAAAAGTCTCATTTTGACCTTTCCCAGCCTCCCTTTATGCGCATGACCCTATAAAAGACCTCATGGCCTTTATAAGTCAGGTCTAAGAGCCAGGGTAGTCCTTCTCAGGTTTGTTCTGAAATAAACCTGTCCTGTTGAACTTGTATCTTTAATTTTTCCTCCTTTTTTTCTAACAATGACAATTTACCTCTTGAGTTTTAAATCTGAGTCTAACAGAGATCAGCAATCAGTCCAAGGTGTCTACCCATGGAGTTATTTTTATAACCTTTTTTTCCTACCTGACATGCTCAATTGCAAGTGCTGTCTGGTCAAATTCTCCAGAGTCATCAAATACAACCCACAACTCCTGCAGGGGCAATTGGAACTCCTTCAGTTCGAGAAGCTCTTTCATACATTCCAAGGTAAAAGTGTTCACTTCAGATTCACAGGTATAGGGCTCAGCAAGCTTCACCACTGCCTTCAAGGCTGAAAAGTCCACATTTGTAACCTGAAATTTAAAACAGTATGACTCCATTTAATACAAAAACCAAAATTAAGAAACGTATAAAAATACTACTGGGCTGGTTAGTTCAGGTGGTTAGAGTGTGGCATCAATAAAACACTACTGATAGCCTAATCTTTCTTAATCTTAATCTTGAAATGGGGACAGGGAGGCTTTTTCCATAATATAAAGGATAAATAAAACACGCCTGGCTCTTACCATGATGGCACTTAAACTGTAGTTAGCAAGAACCTAAGACGATGGTGAGCATGTAATGGAGAATAACTAGCAAGTGTGGTGATCTGAGTTTGCTGGAATGGCCAGGTGAATTCACCTCTGAGCTGAAAGTAATGAAGAGGAACCAGCCATCAAGATGAAAGGTTGGGGCTGAGGAGATAGCCTGGTGGTCTAAGTGCCTGGTGGCAAAGCAAAAGGACCTGGGTTCCATCGCTGATACTGCATGCCATGCCAGTCCTGGAACCTGGCATGGTGGTGCATGCTTACAATCCCAGCACTAGAGAGGCTAAGACAGGAGCATCATTACGAGTCTGAATGTATAGTGAGACCCTGTATCAAAAATAAAATTTAAAAGATATTAGAATAATCAAAATTGAAAAGTTCACAAGGAACAGCTGCAATCCACTGCTTTGTACATAAGCACTGCAACATGTACTTTTTTCTTAAGGAGTTATAGCAACAACATATTCAGATTCTCTGGCTTAACCTTTAGTTTAACAAGGTTTTTTCAGGTCTAATTAACACTAAGAAAAATTCACAGTCATAACTGAGAATGCAAATTTAATATAACAGACTTAGTCAGGAGACGGCCCAGGCTGCGGATCCTGAATTGACACAGAGTGCAGGCCGGGGGAGTGAGTGAGACAACCCAGGGCCCGTGGGATCCTGAATAGACCAGGAGGGCAGGCCCGGGGAGTGAGTGAGACC